CATTAATGCTGAATTGCTTTCTGATGCAAGTGTGCCAGTTCGCACTCTGAACAGCATAATATGAGAGTTCTCTTTGCCTCGTAACATCAGCAACACATCATATTGTTTTGCTCTGTTTTTTGTCAGCTAAATGAGTATCCCATAGTGACTTTAAAACTTATATTTCCCTGCTTGCTAATGAGGGTGAACCTTTTTTCAGAAGTTTATCGGCCATTGGTGTTTTCTGTGAAATGCTTGTTCGTGTCTTTTTGCCCATTTTTCATGTGTCTTTTTCTTAGTGATTGATTTTTTTTTCCATTGATTTTTTGCTATCTTTTTCTTATAGATTCCCAGGAATCTTTTTTTATATATTCTGGATTCTAGTCTTTTGTTTATTATGTGTATTGCAAATAACTTCTCTGGAACTCCTAGAGGGTCCCTGTTGGGTGAGCCTGTCCCAAAAGGATTCGTGCCCCGAGTAGCCAATCGAGTGACTTAGCTCAGAGTATCGGATTCTGGGACGCTGAACATGCACCATGTGGTCAGGGCCAATCCCAGTTTTCCTGCTGGGCCAGTACAGACTTGTGAACGCCTGCAACGCTTCCATGCATGGTGCCGGTAACCAACACTGGACTTCTAGGGTTCCAGTGCGCAGGACGGCATCCTCTGAAGCACGTGCAAGTGTTTGGTTGCTCCTTCTTTACTAACAGTTCCCAGTTCCCACAAGCCGCCCCCTCCTTGCTGTGCCCAGAGCTGGGTGGTGCAGGGAAGCTGAGGAAGCCTAATGACCACTCCTGTTCTGTGGCCAGCGTCCAGAAGCTCTCCGCTCAGCAGACAGCCTTTGGCTGATCATACTTAGCTCTTCTAGTGAGGTCTCAGCTGAGCCCTTTAGCAGCTGGCTGGCTCTGCCAAGGCCCAGCCGGGGTAAGGAATAGCTTGCAGCCAGCTTGCTTTGCCCGCAGAAAGCCAGGCGGCGTCACGCTCCGCGGCATCGCACTTGCAGCTCCCTCTAGGCTGTCATCTAATGGGCAGCGAGGTGGACACAGCTCCCTGAAGAGGCCCCTCAAAATGCAGCAAAACAGAGCCCATCAACACCCCCTGCAGTGCGCGGATAACAGAGGACTTGGAAATAGCCCCATTGTCAATATGTGTCCCTACTCACAATAGAAAAACATCAAAGTGAAATCCTAAGCTGTGTTCCCCAAAAGGTAAATATGCAAGCCGATTGTACTTCAACCTTGATTTGCAATAATTTTTCCAGATCTGAGAAAAGTTCCCCAAATTAAAAATCCAAAATTGATTCTGTTGGCATGTTTGCAAACATGCTTCTCCTCTGGTCCAGCTATTTAAAAATTCTAGAGGTGAAAAAAAAAGACAC